GGGTTTTGTGTAGAATTTTGAGAAATGGAGCCATAGTTTCAAAAGCTGTGTGTAAGCATTTGGAAAAAAACCTGTACTATATAAGTGCAATGATAAGTCTCGGTTAAGTCTTTTTTTTAATAATACATTAAAAAAAATAAGTATAATAAAAATAAAACAAGAATAGAGAACGCTAGTGTTAGAGGGTCATTTTTATAATACAAAAAAAACAAGTAGATAGAATAGAAAAAGAACGAAGAATGCTAGTATTAGAACGTCATTTAAAAAAATATTTTTAAATAAAAAGAAAACAAGTAGTTTTCTTGTTTAGAATAAAAATAGAATACAGAGTAGTGAAAGTGTTAGAGGATAAAGTGTAAATGGAAAAGTGTTTTAGCCGTTTCTTGAAGATGGATAAGGACCAATCTGCTTAAGGTAAAACTCAAAGTGACTTTGTGCCTCTTTGGGATGGAACTATAATGTGTCGTTCACTCTCGGAAAGCAAGCTTAGAACATCCGAAATTAAAGTTCCCTATATGGGAAACGGATTTATTGACTCTTTGATCATTGATGATAGCATTTAGCCTATTTAGACTAAATAGCAAATTAGTATTACTATTATTATTATTTACTGATGTTAGTAAGCATGTACAAATTTTAAACTGCAAATTTAAAATGCATATTTATTTTAACAATTATAATATAAAAAGGTCATATTCGCCACAAACAGTTAATGTTTAGACACAGAGTAATATTGCGCTTCTCCTCAGTCTCCCGATCTTTTAAGCATTTCACTGATCAAAGCCCCGTTACGCACCGTTAAAAAAGAATGTCAGACTCTACGTCCCATATGTTATAGGCTAATTAGACCTAATACAAGAGGACCATGAGATGTCACAGCAGCCAACAGTTTATCCTTCTTCGGTTATTTGCCTTAGTAACTTTTTTTACATATCAAATTAGTTCCATTACTGTTCCAATTATTACAGCAAACCAAATAAAACAGATTTTTTTCATTAATGGATCGAGTTACAATAAAGTAAAACTAGGCTATTATCTAAACTAACTAACAATACACAAACAGCTAGTGACGCCGGTGTTCTAATAATGAATTAAGCAAAACTGACTTAAACCTCTTTCTAAATGGCCGGGGGCGCAATTTGTCAAATAGGCCTATATATTTTATTGGAAGACGCCATGGAAAATGTGAACATAGAGGAAATCTATCGACTGAGACGAATCAGTCTATCTCAGTCAATTACGGTTATTATTATTATTATTATTATTTTATTTTTATAAATTTTTTCTAAAATCAGGTTTTCAGCAATATATTTTATCAACTCGGTTGTTTGAAGTGAGCGAGCAGAAAACCAAATGTTATTTGTTTGCACATCCAAAGGTGAAGAATTGTACCATGCTTTAGGTCGCAAATCCATGAAACAACTGGAGTCGTATTACGTATACATTTGAGGATGCATTATCTATTGATATGAATATTTGAATAGTTAATGTGAGAGTTAACAGGGCACAGTAGTAAAGGAGTTTTAAAACTAAAGGCCTTAACAAATGAACTCATCAACCTTAATTAAAGGCAGAGGGCGAGCGCATTCTGGGTGGTCCATAGCGCAGATAAATATACGGGGCCCTTTTCAAGCCTTAAAAACAATACCTCTATCAATGTGCATCCAATCTCTTAAGGGTACTGATAACAGAGATATACTCCTGAATGTTGACATTTCTTAGTAAAGGAAGTAAAAAAAGATTTGTTTTCAATTAGTAACATTTGAAACGTCTATGTAGCCTGCAAACGTCTCAACATAAAGGTGACTCAAAGTGAATTCGTTATTAATGTATGTCGTATCTTAATTAAATAAATAAATAAAGTCTGCACTCTCAAAGCATGAGTGCTGCACAGAGATAAAAACATTTACTAAACATATACCCAGTAACTAAATTAGACAAGAAAGAAAGAAAGAAAGAAAGAAAGAAAGAAAGAAAATTTCTGCAGCATACTGATATGCATTTACATGCCCCATGACGCATTTATTTTACTATCTTGTCCATAACGTTCACAATTAGGCAAATCAGTGTCAGTCGCAAAGCAAAGAAATTAGGAGGTGCAGTATGTCAGCTGGGAAGGTTCGTGTGAACTTGCCTTCATGAAGCGATACAGCGGAATTTTGCAGTCTTCAGAAGACTTTCCATCAACGCGATGTTACCGAAAACGTCCATTCTTCCACAGCCCAGGATTCTTTAAATGTATATGTAAAACTCAGAATGCGGATGCGGCTAAAGGCTATGTGAATTAGCTGCACTACCGAGGCTTTTGGCTTGATTTTTGATTTGAAAAGCTCAGAGAGAGTGTTTAGATTCTGTAGTAAACATCTTGTCTGTGTTCCTGTCTATCTGGAAAAAGAAACAATATTCTACCGATTATGGTCTTTTTAAAGTGGAAAAAAATAACTTACTGCATAACGCGATTTTGCAGCATCTGAACTTCCCTAAAACCAGCTTTTTATTTATTAGTGTGAGAATGATTTAAAGTTCAAAGTATTTCATGTACAAATTACATTAATGAATTAATCATTTTTATCCCGTTTATATTATCAAAAAGCCCCAAAAACGCGGTGATCATCCTGTAATGTTACGATACTAAAAGTTGAATTTATTGTTGGTTTAAAATCGTTTTGTATTGTGCGGAAGAAACATGCTAACGTGCACTGAATATGCTATTTTATTTACAATAAATAAGACTATAAACGCGCGTTACTTAATAGTGATATAGTTGTGTAGATGTCAGTGAAGCCCACCTCAGCAGAGCTGGCAGTGGGAGGGACACTGGGCGGCCACTGAGTGACTCTGACGTGCTCATGCTCAAGAGCCTGAGAGGAGCTGATGGAAACAGATCAGTAAAAGCTCAACTCCTAAAGGAAGAACAAGAGGACAGGATCTGAAGCCGAAATAATCTATTTTCCCTGCCGTAGCTATTCAGTTTTATGGTGCGTAGTACTATCACAGGAGTAGTGCGCAATTAGGCATAACCAGAGAGACAGAGGGGGCATTTCTGCAGTACAATTGGTTATTAATAAGTAGCGTAAAATCGCAGTATTTTTGTTCGTGGATTTTGACTTGCGCGTGTGCGTAAAGAATGACTGCTGAAGTCCAGCAGCCCTGCGTGCAGACCCCTGCACACAGTAGCCCCATGTCGGAGAAACCGCACGGACAAACGCCTGTGATGGAGACCTCCTCTTCCTCCTCCAGCACCAAAACAAAAAAGTCGACCGCTGGAATCCGTCGTCCTGAAAAGCCCCCGTACTCTTACATCGCTCTCATTGTTATGGCCATCCAGAGCTCTCCAACCAAACGACTGACTCTGAGCGAAATTTACCAGTTCCTCCAGAGCCGCTTCCCGTTTTTCAGAGGCTCATATCAAGGCTGGAAAAACTCGGTGCGTCACAATCTGTCTCTGAACGAGTGCTTTATTAAGCTGCCCAAGGGTCTGGGCAGACCAGGGAAGGGTCACTATTGGACCATCGACCCGGCCAGCGAGTTCATGTTCGAGGAGGGATCTTTCCGCAGGAGGCCGCGGGGATTCAGGCGCAAATGTCAGGCGCTCAAACCTTCCATGTACAGCATGATGAACGGGCTGGGATTCAATCACATACCCGAGTCCTATAACTTTCAGGGGGGCGGCGGGGGCCTGTCTTGTCCTCCAAACAGTTTCCCTTTGGAGAGTGGGATTGGGACGATGAATGGACATTTGGCCAGCAATATGGAAGGAATGGGCTTGGCAGGACACTCCATGTCCCATCTATCAACGAATAGTGGACATTCCTACATGGGCAGTTGCACGGGATCCTCGGGGAGTGAATACCCCCACCACGACAACTCTGCATCGCCGCTTCTTGCCAGCGGGGGAGTGATGGAGCCGCATGCCGTGTATTCTAGCACAGCCTCGGTCTGGCCTCCAGCGTCCCCGGCCTCTCTAAACAACGGGGCGTCTTACATCAAACAGCAGCCGCTCTCGCCGTGCAACCCTGGAGCCAATCCACTGCAGCCCAGTTTACTCACACACTCTCTGGAACAGTCCTACCTGCACCAGAATGGCCACGGAACCACCGACCTTCAAGGTAAATGTTTTAAAGATAATTTGATCCCGACTGCCATGTTTGACAGAAATAGTTTATCTCGTTGTTTTATAAGTTAATACTGAATCTTTTTTTTTTATAACGTCTGAAGCTAACAACAGGCCAGCTAAAATTATGCAGCATAACGACACACATTTGTGTAATTATCTTCCCCTTCAGTTATGTGTTGGTCACATTTTTCATCAATGTTTATGCAATTTTTAGAGAAACGCACAAAGAATCACCGCATTTAATACACATAACACTGGCACCGTAATGCAAAGTATGATCATTTTCTTTAACAAAACAGATTTAAAATAAATAAATAAATATATTTTTTTACAATTTATACAACCCAACTCCAGAAAAAAATTGCCATCATTTTTTTAAGCATATGAATTTTTAAAACATATGAAATTAAAATAAAAACGTGTGGACAATGGTAAGGTGACGTGTTTATACACACACACACACACATATGTGACCCTGGACCACAAAACCAGTCATAAGGGTTCGTTTTTTGAAATTGAGATTTGTCCATTGATGTATGGTTTGTTAGGATAGGACAATATTTGGCTGAGATACAACTATTTGAAAATCTGGAATCTGAGGGAGCAATATATATATATATATTGATATATTTACGGTAGGAAATTTACAAAATATCTTCATAGAACATATTTTCCCGATGAATGCACGACTTAATGTCACAGGCGAATGTTCATCTCCGAAACAATTTCTTTATCATTACTATACTACTACTACTGCTACTACTACTACTACTACTAATAATAATAATAATAATAATAATAATAATAAACAATAAAATACCATTAGGCAACGTTTAGCAGGCCAACCCAAAGTTACAGCCAAGCAGAACATTAAATTTATTCATAAAGAACTTAAATGATCAACTAAACTAAACCAACATGTTAAACTAAGGGTGAATTCTATGTAGTTTTGTAACAATGCAGTGTTTAATTTTCTGTCCCCGCAGGTATACCGCGCTATCATTCCCAATCGCCAAGCATGTGTGACAGGAAAGAGTTTGTCTTCTCTTTTAACGCCATGTCCTCTTCATCAATGCATTCACCAGGGAGTAGCTCCTACTACCACCATCAGCAGGTCTCCTATCAGGACATCAAACCCTGTGTGATGTGACAGCATTGTTACATGCAACTACTCTATGCAACGACGAGAAACAGCGCAAATAGACCCAAATGAACCATGGAAACCTACAGCTTCAGACCTCTGCGAAGAAGGCCTGGGACAAAATAAAATCAAAAGCATCTCGTTTCCAACAGCTCGGTACTAACTCTGCTGGCGACTGACTACCACGCTCGGAGATGCAAAGATGAGTGAAACGCTCCGATATATTGATATATTGTTCTATAAGTCGAGTTTGAAACGTTTGTATGTTTTTCCACAATAATTTTCATTTCGGTTTAAATGGTGAACACCGTAAGAACGCGAAATGAAGGCACTTTTAAACCTAAAGCGCAATGTATTTATTATTTTCAAATGTTTAATTTTTGGCTACAGTTATAGCCACGGCGTTTTAGTGCCACGTTAAAAAAATATTTAAAAATCTAAGATTACGATATTAAAGTCGTAATATTTCGAGAATAAAGTCGAAATATTCCGAGAATAAAGACGAAATGTTTTGAGAATTTAAATAGTAGAAATTAAAGTTATAATATTTTGAGAGTAGCCTATAGCCCTATGGCCTGGATTGAGAGCACCGGGAGAAGTTGCCAGGCCACCGGAATTGATTTGAATATTGTTGAGTCCAGGCGACCGCATCATCTTATTGGGATGAGGAGGAGTCCATTTTAAGGACTTTAAGGACGGAAACAGCTTAATATCAAGAATATGATATTTATTAAAAGACTGAACAGGAACAACCTTTTATTTTAACATCAGCTCACACACACCCAATCGACATTCCTTTGGGGGTCGCTGTAGCTCTCTTATTTAACCCTTTTTTAATACACTACAAATATATGTGGGATTATTAGTAGAAATCATACCATGTGTCATACTCGCGGGGACAGTATGCTTGGAAATAATATTCCATGTCTTCCATTGCATTCGTTATTTGTAGTGCGCCAGCCACCCAATAGCAATAAGCTTTGTGCTTTTGGTAGGCCTACTTTTAATATAAGTCTCAGCTTTCAAAATCAGTTTTATAGCGAAACACAAATTATGTGTTTTACAATCATGTGTTTTTCAAGCTCTTTAATGATCAAATCGCTGTATTTATGTGAATCAATTCATTAAAGTATACTATTTTCTTTGTGAAAATTCCAAAATTCCAAATTTGTGAAAATTCCACCAAAAACGCCTGTGGCGTCCAAACTTTTATTCCTAACATGTAGCCTATTTAATTAATAAAACATTCTAAACGTTGAAGTGGGCTCCAACTCGTTAACATAAGTTATATTGTTTTCTTTTCTGAGGTAACCTGTAGGCTATAACATGTAAGTGACTATTCACACGCTGTTTTATTCATGGTATAATACAGTAAATGATTGGACATTATATTTAACGTCTTCCATTCATTATTTGTAGCACGCCAGCCACCCATTAATCGCAATAATTTTGTGCTTTGTTGCTTTTAATATAACACAGCTCAGCTTTCTAATGCTGTCAGTTTTATCACGAAATACAAATTATAAATTATAGCAAGATATAAAAGTGAAGGAACATCAGAAGGCAAGAAAAAACAGTATAGCTTAATTTATAATGAAAATAATGTCTCATTATTGTAGTCGGAAAGACATGCCGCTTAAACTGAAGCGAATACAGCGATCTGTCACGCCACGCTGTCAGTTTTATCACGAAATACAAATTATAAATTATAGCAAGATATAAAAGTGAAGGAACATCAGAAGGCAAGAAAAAACAGTATAGCTTAATTTATAATGAAAATAATGTCTCATTATTGTAGTCGGAAAGACATGCCGCTTAAACTGAAGCGAATACAGCGATCTGTCACGCCACATTAAAGAGCATGAAAAAAACACATTATTGTAATATACTGTTTATATTTCGCTATAAAACTGACAGATTTTGAAAGCTGAGACTTTGGAATATCTCCCGGTGTTCCCAATCCGGTCCATTTGCATGTGCAAAAGGCTAGAATATACTCTCAAAATATTATAACTTTAATCTTTATTCTCGAAACATTTCGACTTTATCGTAATATTTCGACTTTATTCTCGTAATTTCGATTTCATTCTCGAAATATTTCGACTTTAATCTCGTAATCTTAGATTTTTTTTTTAACGTGGCACTAAAACGCCGTCGTAAACCACAGAATTGACCGCTTTATTGGCAATATTTGCCCAATGTAATATTAAGGTTAAATATAAGCACTGTTATTTTTTTTTTTTTAGTTGTACATATCTATACTGACACGTCTTATTTCTCACTGTTTAAACTGTACATGGTGTAGAAAATAACTTTTGGTAGGGTTTTTTCCCCCCTATTTCAAATACTTTAAACATTAGTTGATGTAATACTTCAGTTCTATTGAAAATTAAAATAAATAAAAAATGTCGAAGTTTGCTATACCTGTTCAAATCATGATTTTTCTAAACAAGATAATTTGTTTATGTTTTGTGGATTTTTTTTATTTTTATAGATTGAATCCTATAGATTTGGGGACTAAATCTCTGCATTATTCATTAACCAGTAATTAATTTTATTGATTGTATAGAGTTTAAAGACATATAGGCCATAATTCTGAATTAATAATGCAGAATGAAAATAGGGCGAACTACAACAACACAATAATACTGTTTTTTTTTTTTTTAATTTTTAAACATTCTTCATGATTGATTTAAGTCCTGGAGAAAGACTGACTGCTTATAGCTAAAATATACGTGCAAAACCAAGCTGTTTTATAATTCATTAATATACCATAAAATGGAATATTGTACGAATAATTATTTCAATAAATCCAAATTATTGTAATATAGTCCCTTTAATGCAAGAAGTAAAGATGTGGATTTACTAACAAATGTTGTCTTGGTGGAACTGAAAAGGCTGAACATATTCTATAAAGTAGCATTCCCATCTTACAGGGAAAACTTAGATAGATAGTTAGTTAGATAGATAGATAGATAGATAGATAGATAGATAGATAGATAGATAGATCTGAGAAGAAATGATTCATTGAATTTACTAAAAAAATTAAGGTAAGTGGCAATCAATTTATTTTATTTAAATAAACAAATTTTGCTGAAAGTTAGTCAACTAAATTTATTTATTTAAATGTGGCTAAAATAAATTGATTGCAACCGCTTACCTTAAAAAAAATTAGTATAATTTTTTTCAGTGAACTATTTGATGACAAAAAATTTAATTTTTGAGCTGTTCCTTTAAGCCAGGATGTAGGCAACGTTGGTCCTGGAGTGCCAATGTCCAGGACGTTGCCTACCCCTGCTTTAAGCTTTACTTTTACTCACTTAGTAACGAATTTTTGTTTTGTTTTGTTTTTTAATTTACTTTTGTCATATAATATTTTGGTAACTATTGTCTTGTATAATGCTGCTAAATATTTAAACATCATTCATATAAAAATCATTATGGAATTGTTTGGATAACATTAATAATATATGGATAACTCCTAGTGACTCTCTCTTTCTTTAGGCTTAGCAAAGAACGCTTTTCTTGTCAAAAGTATATCAGTTTATTTTGTTTCTGGGTTCTATAACAATAAAAGTTATTTTTGGAAAAGGTTGTCCAGGACATCAAACTTTAAAACTCTCTCTCTCTCTCTCTCTCTCTCTCTCTCTCTCTCTCTATATATATATATATATATATATATATATACATATAAATAAATATAGGCCTAGCCTATATATGAAGAGTTTATTTGCAAAAACCGATAAACGCCACTTAAAAAAAAAAAGATTGCCATGCATTATTCTCCACATATAGTGCGATCTGAACCCTAAACACGTTTTGTCAAAAAAGCCGGTTTTGTCCACTTTCAAGGCATCGCGAGTTCACGTTTTACTGCAGAAGCCGACAAGCGCCCTTGTTGTTTTTTAACAGAAGCCGGTAAGTCCATTTTAGTGAATCAGCGCGCTGTATTCAGATCAGGTGACAAGGCTACATTCACTTTGAAAAAACGTGCTAGCTGAGAGGAGTTTCATCAAATCTGACTAAAAGTGATCTAAGACGAGGATGGATAATGATGAATCTGTGATGTCTTCTTCAGGGCGTAAAAGGAAAATAAAAGCTAAAACGTTTTCACAGAACCTTGCCAAAGTAGTGCGTTACAATGGTGAGGGAAAACCCTTCTTTTTTTTTTACTCTGAAATATGAAATGTGGAGTTATCTGCTTTTGCCAAAAAACGACTGTTGGGGTTCCCTTTCATGGGAACTTCGAACTGCTCCTCTAGGGGTCGCTATGGGGAACGCCTCGTCGTGACCAGTGTCTGAAGCATACATTTAAAAAACACCAACTCGTTGGCCGGTGACAGCCATAACGTCACTACCGGTGCGAATATAGTATAAATAGGCACCGGGAGCACACATCATTCTCTTGTTATATCCGGCTAAAATTAGGAAACAAACGGTTAAAACAAATCAGTATTGGCAGCATGTCTGGAAATCTTACAGGGGCCCTCAAGCAGGGGCGTAGATTACGCGGGGGACGCGGGGGATTGAAATGATGGCTACGCCCCTGCCCTCAAGCGAACACAATATTGACCCCTGAACGAGCGCACACACGCATCTACTATTAGTGCGTGGCCGTGACCATGATCTGAACCCGCAAAGATTTCCGTGGATGTTTACATGAACTCAGGGACCACACATGAGCAGAGCTGTCACTTTTTATTCAGTGAATGTTTCTCAGGGCAAGTGTATAATTGACACACAACTTAAATTCGTGACTACAAAAATTATGAACAGAATTATCCATTCTGTTATTAATTAATTACTGACTACTTAATGTAACACACTTCACCTACTGTGTTGTTACGCTGGATGGAACCTCGATCAAACAGCCTGAGTTACGTTTCGCTATAAGCCTATGTCAGTAGACCGCACAGAAACTTTGTTACATACAGCGAAGTCGCGTCGTGTTTCAGCCCTGGTCTGGTCTGGTCCGTTTGGCTAGAAGTGAAACTTCCATGGTGGTGTGGTGTCGAAGTCCCCTATAAGTTTCCCCTTAATTTAGCGTTCCCGCGACGCAAACAGCGTACAGAGCACGCGCTTGTGCTCGTTCCACTGTTCCCGCACACTGTTTCCGCTTATCATCTTAGTTATAATATTTACTATATATTTAGGTATTGATCACAGTATCGATTTGAAGGTTTGGAAGGCTTGGAAGGCTTTGCCGACTGCGCTGTATATGTATGAAATATGCATTCAAATAAATGTACAACGTAATTCTACCTCTAACAAGTATATTTTTCTTGTATGTGCTTCTCAATCTCAGTTTAAAATAGTTTATTGGCATTATTTATATACACACACACACACACAGAGCGATTGTATAATATATAATACAATGCATAGGCCATTCAAATCATGTTATATTTATTATCATGTTTTATTTTGAATCAATAGTTTTGTATTCAGCTATACTCATTTAATCCATATTTTATTGTGGGTTTAAAAAGTTTACTATGAAGACATGAAAAATACAAAATAGACACTCAATGTTGTTAAATATTATTTAATATTTCAACATTAATAGCAAAAACACAAGAACAAGAATAATAATAATAATAATAAAAACAAAAGAATCTCAACATGAATTTAAATTAGGCTAGCCCAAAATGTGGGGACTGCACAATGCCTAAAATCATATACTGGTTAAAGCTAATATTCCAACATAAATAACAAATACAATAACCAGAATAATAATAATAATAAATACAATCGCTCTGAATCTCAACATGAATAAACATTAGGCTACTATATGATTTTAGGCATTAACTTTCTTCCTCCCATTGTTTCTGCCATGTACTTTTCACGTTGTTTTATTAACTTCATCTCAGTCTTAACAATTTACTTTCATGTCTATATCTAACTTTTCTTTGGTCTCCTTGGTACATTCACCTGCCGATTCATATAGCCTATCCTTTTACTAACTCAAGAGGTTGCATTACAGAAAAAGAAAAGGTTTGTTTTAAATAAAAC